CTCATCTGCCCGCCGCCACCCGTCCCTTCTTCCAACTCCTGGAAACCTGCTCCGGTGCACTCGCTAGCCACAGAGCCCACTCCCCACACGTGCCAACGAATATACTCAGAATTATTCATTTTAGACAAATATTTTGGCCCTTGCTAAATGACACAGTAGCTCTTGTCAACTGTGTTGAAATTTAAATGATTACAACAGGCAAAACTGCCAGATTGGCCATCTTTTTTTTTTTTTTGAGACAGAGTCTCACTCTTTTGCCCAGGCTAGAGTGAGTGCTGTGGCGTCAGCTTAGCTCACAGCAACCTCACACTCCTGGGCTCAAGCGATCCTTCTGCCTCAGCCTCCCCAGTAGCTGGGACTACAGGCATGCGCCACCATGCCCGGCTAGTTTTTTCTATATATTTTTAGTTGTCCGATTAATTTCTATTTTTTTTTTTTTAGTAGAGACGGGGTCTCGCTCTTGCTCAGGCTGGTCTCGAACTCCTGAGCTCAAACAATCCGCCCGCCTCGGCCTCCCAGAGAGCTAGGATTACAGGCATGAGCCACCGCGCCCGGCCCAGATTGGCCATCTTTAGCTGGCTGTTTTTCACCATGTAAACTCAGCCCAAGTCTAGCTGAATGGCAAACCATAAGGCAGAAAGTGGGTGTCAGCTGTGGAGAGGAGCCCTCCTGAGTCGGCCAGGCAGCCGTCAGCCTGTGATGTTTGCTGGACTCAATCTAGAGGGGCAGGAGTGAGCCGTTCCCACACCTGCTGCTGCAGAGAAGTTACCCCACAAAGCTGCCCCACTGTGCAGCAGAGGGGAGTCACCAGGAAGTCCCCCCTGCTCCTCGATGTCCTGTCCTGCTCCTCACCCCCCCATCTTCAGGAAGCATCCCTGCCCCAAGAGAGTGACACTCTTCAGTACCAAGTGTTACTGACTCCAAGTGCAATCTCAGGGTAGGAAACAGGAAGCTGCACCCTCAGTATTGCGCCTAGACCTCAGAGCTCTGAAGAATTGGCCTTAGCACGTCACACACTGTGTCATCAATGTTATGCCAGTCAGCAGACAAGAAGGGGAGCCAGGAGGTCTGGACTGTCCATCTTGGGTGGGGTGGAGGTGGAGGTGATGGTGAGGGTGCCAGTCACGGTGCTGTTGGTGCTGAGGGTGGCAGTGGCGGTGATGGTGGTCGGGGGTGATGACGATAGTGAAGGTGATAGTGATGGTGGTGAGGATGATAGAGGTGGTGGTGATTTTGATGGTGGATGTTGGTGGTATTGGTGGAGGAGGTGGTGGCAGTGTTGGTGGAGGATATGGTGGAGATGGAGATGTTAGTTGGGACAGAGGTGGTATTTGGCAGTGTTGGTGCAGGAGATGGTGGTGATGGAGGTGGTGATCGTGGCAGAGGTGGAGATGTTAGTGGTAGTGATGGTGATGGTGGTGTTGTCCGAGTTCGTGGAGCAGATGGTGGTGATCAAGATAGTGTTGGTGATGGAGGTGGAGGTGTTAGTGGTGGTATTGGTTTTGTCTACATAGCACTTTCCCATTTAGAGCCAACAGCACTCCAGTTATCCTTTGGGGACTTCTCCCCTGAAAGCTGGTCCATCGAGAGGAGCCCCTGGTAAAGGCAAGGGCTTGTGCCTGAGCCAGGCCAGAGCTGCCTCATTCCAACAGCAACACTCAGAGGAGACCACCCGTCAGTGCTTGAGGCCTGGATCCCCCTCCCAGGTCTGCATCTCCCTTTTACTTGACTCTGTGGGCTCCCTGCCTTCCAGACAGCCCTGCCTTCTCCTGGTTGCCAGACTACTGAGTCACCAGCACTGAGACCTGGGCTGCAGCCTCCTTGTTGTTAGTAAAGAGTTACCAGTGATTAGTAAGAAAAGCATCTAACTTGATGAGGTGCGGACTAGGTGCCAGCAGGTCATGACAATGACAGTGAGGTACCATACTTATTCCTATTTTACAAATGAGGAGAGCAAGTCTGACAAGATCCTACAGCCAGAAGGTGCTGGAATCAGTGTCCAAACCCACTGTGGTCTCACTCCAGGCCAACGTCTGCTGATTCTATTGGAAAACTCCCGAAGCCAGCACTCTGAACCCTCTTGACCTTCTCAGGAAGGGGTGTCCTGATCCGCTGTGGCTCTAGGGAGTCAGTGCAGAGGTGCTTGGTGTCATGGAGCATTTGCCTGTTCAGATCAGTGTTGCCTCTTTCACTGAGTCCAGAGAAAGGGAGGCAGGAGCAACTCGCGTTAATCTCATTCTGCCAACATTCTAACTTGGCAGTAAGTCACACTCTCCCGCAAACTGGTTAATAAACCTGTTGCTAGAAGACATTGGTATTCTGTGGTTCTTTCTCAGACTGTTCTAGATGAACATGTCATGCACATGGCTGAAAGTCTGGCAAAGCAACAGAAGAACCAATAACCACAAAATCCCATATTTCTTGTAGGTTTTGCTTGTTCCTCTTATTTCTCTGCTCTATCTCTGTGACTGACTAGTTTAATCAGAAGGTGTTGTCTTCAAGCTCTGAGATTCTTTCCTTCTGCCTGATCTAACCTGTTCTTAAGGTTTTCCACTGTGTTTTGTAATTCGTTGAATGAATTGTTCATTCATTTCCTGCATCGTTTTTGTGGTTTCTTTGTGCTGGGTCTCTCCTTTATGTTGTATTTCATTAAGCTTTCTTACAATCCATGTTCAAAATGCTCCATCTGTCATTTCAATATTCTGCTTCTGGTTGGTATCCATTGATTGCTAGGGAGCTCGTGTTCCCTTTTGGGGGGTGACCTTTCACTCTGATTCATGCTTCCAGAGTTCTTTCACTGGTTCTTTCTCATCTGGAGCAGATATTGCTTTTTACTTTTGGATTTTATTTAGATGACACATCCAGTTTAATCTCTGAGTAGGTGGTGCTTGTGGGTGAGAATCAACCACACCCTCTGACTGAGTCGGTAAATACTCTAACTGATGTGCAAATTGACCTTCCTGTCAGTAGGTGGTGCTTGCCAGAGGAAACGAGCTGCACTGCTGTTTTCCCTCCAGTGATCCACTCTAGTTCCTCAGGAGGCCTCTAATGCCCCAGGTGGTGGGCGGGGCCCTGGTATTTCCAGGTGAGTCCTTTATTCACCACCACAGCAGAGGCTGGTGGGGGAATTAGGCGGGGTGGGTTAGGTTGGGTGAGCCTGTCCTCCAGCTCCACAGATGCTGGTAAGGGGTATGCAGGGATTAAAGGACCATTCCCCACCTCTGGGCTAAAGTGCCTGGAAGGGGCTGATGTGCCCCCACTCAACCATAGAGTCTGCTCTCTAACCCCAGGGAGCTAATGTTCATAGAACAGGATGCTTAAGAGAGGGGAAGAGTATTTCTGCTTTGTTTTTTATTTATTTATGTATTTAAATTCAGGATATTATGGGGGCACAAACATTTTGGTTACATGTAATGTGTTTGCCTCACCCAAGCCAGGGCTACAAGTGTGTCCTTCCGCATACGGTGTGGTAATGGAGGTGGAGCACACTGTAGAGGGGAAGAGTGTTGGACACCCTCCGAGAACCTTTGCCTTACCCATTTTACCCATTTGTTTCATATGGTCCAATATTGTTGGAACAGTCACGTCAAACCTTGCTGCTAATTCACTCGTAGTTTGAGATGGATTCGCTTCCACTACAACTTTCAACTCATCATTATCCACCTTGGTCTCAGGTCGCCCCATGTGGCTCATTTTCAAGATTAAAATCACCAGAACGGAACTTCTCAAACCAATGACGTATACTGTGCATTCATTAGCCACATCCTTCCCAAACGCTTTGTTGATATTTCAAGCTGCCTGCGCTGCATTGGTTCCACGACAGAAGTCATATTCAAAAATAACACAAATTTTTGACTTATCCATGGCTTCACAAAAATTGATCTAAAAAAATTTGAAAGGTAATCACAAGCCAAACCATGTGTTTCAAAGACTGAGGATGTACCTTCACAAGAAACATGAAACAAGCAGCGTCAAAGTGAAATGTCACAGATAGCAAATGTCAGATTTAGTAATTAAGGAAATCACACATTTCGTACTAAATAACCTAATAATTATCTTCCACCCTTCTCTCCACTTTGAGTATCGGTGAGTGGTAAAGAATGTCTTCTGCTGCAGAAAATGTCTGAAAGTTTAAAATGGTGGATATTTGCTTTCCCAGCCATGCAGCCTGGTTATTCAAAGTGTATTTTCACTGTATTTCCAGTGTCAATGTCATTCATCAATACAGCATACAGCTGAGTTAACAAAGATGTCTAAAAAGTCAAATTTTCAAACTTAGGTGAATTAAGCTGCAATCTTATTCCAACCTCCACCTTCCAATCTCCTGTTTCTCAGATCCCTTGGCAAAACCTTACCCTGAGTGCTCATAGCTAAAGTAAGTAGTCCATGTCTTATACCTTCTAAGAGAAACATGGGCACTGAAACATTGGCATTTCTTTACTTTTTTGCTCAAGGGCTGAGGACAGGCAGAATAAGCATGAAATTTAAGCAGCACTAACTTCCACCAGGGCCACAGCCTGCAGGATCAGCCACGACTTAGGAACACGAGATGGCCAGTCAGTCCCCGCAGTGGGCAAGGCAAGGCAGGGTGGCACAGGAGGACACCGGCACCACTGGTGCCGTGACAGCTCTCAGAAGGAAGGGACGCAGTAATAGTGGTTCACCTTCAGGCTGAACTCGATTTCTGTGCTTCACACATTCACAAGCCACAGGCCCGCTAGGCATCTGGCTGAGGCAGCAGGAGATGAGAACTAGGTGCCCAGAGTCCTGACGCACCACCGAACTCCCCCCCGCAGCATCTCAACTCCCCCGGGGCCCCGGCACTTGCCCCTCGGCATAACACAGGCACGAGAGGGGGCAACACATGCTAACATTTTTAAATAAAGTACACAAACTGATGTTGTCATTGCTTTATTACTCACAGTTTGCAAGCAATATTATATATATAAAAGTCATTTTAAAAACAATCAGTTTTGCTAGGAAAAAGTCCTTTTTTCCTTTGCATCATGGATTTCATTGTGACACCTGGGGTCCTTTATGTTAAATATATTATTCCCGGAGGCACTGGGCAAACAGTGGAGGACTCTGAGTTCTCTACTCATAACACCCTCAAGTCCCACCTCTTCCCTTACATGGGTCATCCACCTTAAAAACATAAGGAAAACACTTATGTGGTCCCCCTGCCTGAGTCCTCTTCCCAACCTGTATGTGTCTAGAGATGCTGGCTTGGTTAGGAATTCAGAAGCTCTCCCAAAGTTCTCGCTGACGCCTCATAGAGAAATCTGAAACACAAAGAAAGAAACATTTAGCTACAGAAAAGTGACGAAATTATCCAAGTGTGCATTTTCAAAAATACAATCTAAAAATGGTTTGCAACCAGATGCACCTAAAAAGAAAGCTGAAATAGTCTATTTCACTAACAGTTTCTCACGTAAAATGGAGTTGGAAACCCCAGGGCATGATCCTGGGCACTGCATGCGGCCTGCGTCAATGGTGCCCACCCGGCAACACCAATGCCAGGGACTCTTTCAAACTACTCTTCCTTATGCAGCGGGACGTGCTCTCCCTGCCAGCACCCACGATCCCAGCCTGCTTCTCCGCCACACAAGACAACAAGAGACACGAAAACTATTTTACCCACCGAGACACTCTATTGCCATGAGGTTTACCGTGCACCTCCGATAAACTGAGACCTTCAGAGAAGCCTCACAAGGCAAGGCAGGCAAGGCTCCAGCCAACGCTCTGCTCCCCCCACCTCCCACTCTCAGCCCCACCCAGGCCAAGGCATTTCTGTTCCCAGAACATTACTTGCGTTTCCCTTGCAGGGCACCTATTTTATTTCAACATCATTACTGGACTGTCCTTTTAGATTTCAAATCTAAATTTGCAAAATTCCCCTTTTTCCCACTTTTATCATCCAATAACCGCAACATGGCCCCAACACACTCTACTCCAAGTGGGGACGTGGATAAGCTAATCTCTGATTTCCTCTTAGACACGAATGTCTCCTTTTCACACCGAATGACACCTCAGCTAGATTTTAAGCTGGTAACAGTTATTCCATCGCCTTCTCATGTCCAGCAGTGCCCGTGAGAACACGCGTGTCCGCCTGGAGCTCACCCTGTGGAGACCGCTCTGCCCAAGACAGCCTCTCTAAGGTAAATGCAAATCAAGTGGCCGGTTTACATTTTCTAATAATCACATTAAAAGAACGGTAAAAAGGGTGAAATTCACCTTGGAATATTTTCTTTAACCCATTATGTCCAAAATACATGAACCAGTAACCAATATAAAACAACCCTGACACATTCCACATTCTGTTTCTACACCAAGTCTACAGAATTACACCCGGGCCCGTCTCTGCGCGGACTCGCCGCACCGACCGGCACACATCTAGGAGTTTTAGTATCTTCTCTTTATCCCTAGAATTTAGGAATTTTATTCAGAATTATTTAGGTTTAATTTCTTTTCACCAATCCCATCAAGAATTATTGAAAGAAGAAAAAGAGAATCTTTAAAATTATGTATTCCTTTAGCTCTGGGAACCTTCTCTGGTCATCTGTCAAACTTGTGCTTCTCCCTGACATGAGGCCTCCGACTCCCCTGAGTCAGCTTCACCTGGTCACCTCCCGTCGGCATTAATGTCCTGTCCTGGGCTCTCCCTCCAGCATGGTCCTCAGACCCTTGGGACCTGGCCGTCAGCAGGGCCCACTCTTAACACTGGCCGCTGGGGCTGCAGCTGACTGTCTTCCAAGACCCTCCGTCACTAACTGTCTGGCTTGTCCACCCGGCCACACTGACAGCAGAACTCTCCCTGCCCCTCCCAACTGCCGGGCCCCCTCCCATGGCTATTTCTGTCTGTGCCAAGCTGGACACCACAGTGGATGCAGACAAGGTGGGCAGGAGGGCACAGGTGTGCAGAAGCCGCCACACAGTAGCAGCCAGGACGCCTGGCCCTAAAGTGACAACAGATGCCCACACCCCTTTCAGGTCTCCCGGACTCAGTGGTGAGAAGACCTTGCCCCGGGTCAGCTCCCTGGGAGCTGGGAGGCCAGGACCCTCCCAGGGCCAATCTCCCTGGGCTTCTGCTGGACCCCTGCCACAGAGTCTCCTGCCTGAGCCCCCGTCCCCCAGGGGAGCAGAATGCTCTGTCCATACCCAGGTTCCCCGACCCACCGGCTCAGCAGCACTGACGGTGGAGTTGAAACGGGGGAAATTCTCCAAAATCTAAAACTGATTTTTAATTACACAAAAATATTTTTTTCTCCTTATGTGGGCATGACTTTTAAATACTTTAGAGAAAAATGTTAGGTTGGTTATCTTGGCAAAAGCACAGTAGTCCTTGGTGTCCGCAGGGGAGGGTCCCAGGACCCCTGTGGATACCAAAACCCATAGGTGCTCAAGTCCCGGATATGAAATAGCATGAGATCGATCTGCCTACAGCCGTGAACAGCCTCCTGCATGTTTAAATCATCTCTGGACTACCGGTGACACCTGATGCAATGCAATGCTATGCAAATAGCTGTCATGCTGTATCGTTTAGGAGCAATGACAGAGCCGGTCTGTACGTGCTCAGTACAGATACGACCATCCATTTTTCCTTGAGTGTCTTCAATCCCTGGTTGGTTGAACCCACGACGTAGAGCCCACAGATACACAGGGCGCCTGCACCGACCAGGCAGATGGTAAGCAACCAGCCACCCACACTGACCCAAGCCAAGACTGGCCACAGTAATGACTGCTGGCCGCTTTCCCTGCACAGACAGATGCGGGCAGCACACAGCCGACCGGTCAGGGCTGGAAGCCAGGCTGCACGTCTCTGACCGTGGGGGACCATGGAGGAAGGCGCTGTGCAAGCCAGAGGACTAAAGACTATTAAAGAACAGAATGAAGAAAACATGGAATTCCAGAGCTGGAAGGACAGGCCAGGGCTCTTCTCCCATGCACTCCTCCACCTCAACCCTAAAGCCCGCAAAGTGTGTCCAACACGAGGACCGAGACATCAGTCCTTCACTTGTACCATCTGCGCCTGGGCAGGACCACGTGCGGTGACCACAGCCACAGGAAGGGCAGAATCACTTCTCTAAGGAAAACAATTGGTAAGATCAAAGACAAAGTATGTATTTGTAAAGAGTGGCTTGTGAATAGTTTTAATTATCCACACCAAGTTCCACTGGGTATTATTGACAGAAACATGCCGCCACATAAGCCACAGAAAGCACCCAGTCCCAAATTCATCTCATAAAAGGACTAGTAAAATTGCATAAAGCAGAATAAAATGAACTGGCTTTCATTTATCAGTACTAGATAATAAGCACACGGCCACTTTCCAGAAAATGCTCCTCTCCCTGCAGGCCCTGTGACAAGGGTAGATGTTGGGGACCATGTCACCTCACCGTCAGAGCTGTCTGTATACAGGCATAATTATCATTAGTAATTTGCATTCAATATTTACAATTCACTCAGTGGGAAAAATTCATGAGATAATACAACCCTTAAATATTTGTACTTCCATAATTTCAAATTATAAATTTATCACTATCTTCATACAATTTACAAAAGGAATAAATTTCACATACTTGACGTTTAAACACACCAGTGCACTGGCAAACGCGTGTGGCTGTTCCTGAGAAAGTAAGTTCGATTCACAATATGCTACACTGCATGAGGCAACTAAGATCCAACGAGATGCAATTTTTAGTCAACACCCAACAGACCAGTCAACAAAATACTAATGCTGCTGGAAACAGAACTGCACTAGTTGATAAGAAAATGTTTGCTTCTAAATGCCCCCTTGCCTAAAACAGTAATTGCAGCAAGGGGTTGTCAGGTCTTAAAGATGTTTACTTGCCTTGATATCCAACGTTAGATCAGTAACATTTAAAAACAGTCTTAAATCTTAATTCTTTACCTCCCATTAGACTGATTTTTCTTGCGTCACCGATCTGTCAGGTTCGTTATTGTGGAGACGCTAGTTTCTCTACAGTTCGCCCCCGCACGTTTCAGAAAGACCCGGTGTTCCCGGAGCCTCCCGCTTACCTTCCCGAGCTCGCGCCTCAAGGGAAGCCGGTTTCCACCGCGGTCGGCACAGAGCCCAGGGCGCGCAAGTGCGGAAGGGAGAAAAACGTCACAGCCCGTTTCCTTTCCGCAGCGCGAGTTCTCGGTTTCTCTGGACTTCCTTCCCCGCAACGCAGCCGGCCCGACTTGAGGCCTGCGATGAAGAGCCGGCGGGCGACACCCCGCCAATCCTCCCCAGGCTCCGCGCAGCCCCACGTCTCTCCTACTGAGCAGTCGTCACGCGGTGCGCGGACGGCGGAGACCGGCAGTCAGCGCTCTCGTGCGTGTGCGACCCCGACCTGTCACCCTCGCGGCTGGCGAACCGCCGACAACGCGCGTGTGAAACGCACCAGCCGGACCGCGGCCCACACGCTCCTGAAACCGCGTCTGCCGGTTCTGGGCGGCGGCAGCGGGGCCTCGCCCACCTCCCCGCGAGCAGCGCCTCGGAGCAGCACCCAGAGCCCCGCGTTCCCCCTGCGGGCGCGGCACCGGCGGGGCTGCCTGCGGGTTCCCAGGGCCGGGCGGACGCGGAGCCCCCGGGCGGGCTCTGTTGGCGCCGCGCTGGCGCTCGCCGGCGGGAGCTGACCGTGCGAGGAACTCCTCAGACGCACGCGGAGAGCAGTGGCGCCTCACGCGGGAACGGCCGCGAGGACGCGTTGCTAGGGAGACCGTCCAGCGCACGGGCGGAGAGAAGCCGCGCTGGTGCCGCACGTGGCGGGCGCGCGTTCCTTACTCGCTGCTCCGCGTCCGTGACGCTCAGCGAGTGGGCCCCACGCTACTGACGATAATAAAGAAACCAGGGGCCACTCTCCGCCAGTAAACTTGAACATCGAGATCAGCGCATAATTTTATGAGAAATTCTGAGTTACACTGATTCTGGCAGAAACCGGAACTCAGACTAAACCGGCGACACGAGGGACTCGGGGAGCACGGCCCGCTCCACGCGGGACCGAACACCAGCCGCACGACCTCGCGAAACGCGCGGGGACACGCGGGGACAGGGCTCGGAAACTCGCCGCGAGGTAACGCAGCTTGGGCTCGGCCGGCGAGGAGCGTGGACGCCGCCGCTCCGACCGGGGAAGGCCGAGCACGCCTCGCAGAGACGCCCTGGCCACGGCAGCAACATGCCTGCGTTCACGCCCCCACGGGCCCAGGCCCGGGAGCAGCTGCCTCCCACGTCGGCCCGCGGCTGTGGAGAAAGCCGGCCTTGCGGCGTTGGCTGGACTCAGTCTCCCCGCCCCGCAACTCTCTTCCTCTTCCCCTCGCGTCAGTGCGGTTAGGGCCCCTGCGTGGACCTCACCGAGGCGTCCTTCTCCTGGGATGGGGCGGAGACTCGGGCTGTGGTGAGGCTGCCGCGGACATGGGGCAGCGCCAGGAGGCAGCAAACAGGACGCGGCTGCACGACCCGGCGGGCGAAGCCCCGAGAAGGGGACGGCAGGAGCCTCGCCGTGCTGACGCCCCGGCGGCCGGGCGGCTTCACTCGGCGGAACAGCCACGCACTCGCACGCCTTAGCCACCCAGGTACTTGCCCGTGCTGTGGGCTGAGGTTAAAATATCACGTGTATATTGTCTGAGCCCCTGACAACTGGAAAAAGACTAACCAAGTGTTTTAAAAATCTAAAATCTTCTGAGAAACTAAGTTTTGTTACTTCATTTTTGTTAGGAGCTCCCAGATAAGCTATTAATGTCAAGGCCTCATTTCCCTGAAAACAGTGATTACAATCAGGATAACAGGACAGGAGTGTATGCAGTAACCCTTCGGTTAACTGTAACAACCCAATTCCCAAATCCGTTTGTCAACCTCATTCTCTACACTTAATGCTCATTTCACATTACTAGAAAGTCAGGTTTACAAATACATGTGGGAACTGAGGTATTAAAGTGAGCACTAAGTGTATTTGTGCCTACGACAAGACTAGTCTATAAAAAGCCACACGTTGGAAGTTTATTCATAAATTAGCAACTTAGGATTTTGAAAGCCTTTCTCCAAAGGAGTGGTTTGTTTCCCAGGCACACCAAAACCTGGACCACCCAGCACAGAGCTCTGTAACACTCACCTTTGTGGCTCATAAAACAGCAGGAAGACACTGTTTGTGTGGCTGATCCAAAACCCACACATTCGTAGCAGAGTCTGCAGGAACAGGCAGAGCAGGCCAGGACAGACATGGCATCGAGCCCCGCCTGGAAAGTCAGCCGGGAAGCTGCTCACAGAGGCAGTCCCATGGCACAGCACACACCTCCGCCGGGCAGGGAGGGGGCACCCGCCCCAGTGTGCACGTCTGTACACTGGGTGCCTATTCTCAGGAAACACCCATGGTCTCAAAAATGCAGCAACCACCGAAAATAATGTCTACTTCTAAAACCACATAACATCAGTTTGTACGCCCTCATTTTCCTACAGCAGAATTTTGCACATGATGGGTTTTTTTGGAAGGCAGGATTAGTAAGTAAATTAAACGCAAGCTCAAAGGGCTTTGACAACAGCAACGTTTCCATCCTGACAGTTCCCTGTCTGGCGACCACCCGGCTATAAGCAGCAGAAACGGAAACACGACGTCACATGCGCCCGCCCAGAGAGCGGCCAGCAGTGCTCAGACTGACCCATCGGGAGTCCACCTCGTGCTTTACCTTTCGATGCTGTCCTCTTCCAAGGTGATCTCCATGAATGTCTTCAGTTTTCTGTGAACTGTAGCTGCAACTTCCTTCACTTTGGAACTTCTGTGTTTACCTAGGAAGAGTATAATGAAAGCCAGAGAAAAGACATTCACATCACCACACAGGACAGACACACTCTCCCATACACGTGGGTACGCTTTCCAAAAGCTGGGCTTCGTCTTCCTTCCTTTCGCAGCGACCTACTTACTGCCCTGCAGGACAGTGAATGTCCCTTCACGAGGCCATCGCAAAGCTCACACCTTTACGAAAGCAGCTCGCTGGCTGTGAGGGAGAGTTCGAGAGGCCCTCACCCCATGGGGCCACTGGCGCAGCACCCTGTCCATGCTGTCGAGCTCACGAGTGCCCCCACCAGAAATGACAACTACCACATTTCAGGGTCAGTCCCCAGTTTAAATTTCACAGATATTTAAGGACCTACTAAGTGCCGGGCACTGATCAGCATCTGGCCTCCGCCCCCACACCCTTCTCATGTGGAGAAGCCCCTCACTCTGTGATCTCAACTCAGGGAGGCCTTTGGGGAAGTCTGTTCTGATGCCCAACTTTGGTCAAACTAGTGAAAAAGTTTTATCATCAGTCAGGCACAGTGGCTCACGCCTGTAATCCCAGCACTTTGGGAGGCCAAGGTGGGAGGACTGCTTGAGGCTAGGAGTTCAAGGCCAGCCTAAGCAAGAGTGAGAACCTCTCTCTGCTAAAAAATAAAAAAATTAGCCAGTACAGTGGGGTGTGCCTGTAGTTCCAGCTACTCAGGAGACTGAGGAAGGACGATCACTCGAGCCCAGGAGTTGGAGGCTGCAGTGAGCTATAACGACACCACTGCACTCCAGCCTGAGAGACAGAGCGAGAACTTGTCTCAAAAATAAATTAAAAAAAAAGTGAACCAGTAGACAGACTAAATATCAACACCAAAATGTCCATCATGAACAAAAATAAATTCAGATTTTAAAATATAGGTGATACATGACAAACCAATAGAAACTCAATTCTGAGGCAGAGAGAGGAATACTTTAACAGTCCAGTGGTCAAGGTGAAAGGTAGGCAGGAACTGCATCACATGCACAGGACAAGCTGAGGAGGCGGCCCCCGGGGGAGGGAGGGGGAGGGGAGCAGCGCAACCAGGGAGCTGTGGGAAGCTGGTCTGGCAACAGCAGTTCCCAAACATCCCTAACCATGCCTGGGAGGTGCACCCAGCACCACTCAGATGACAGGCAAACGTGACCAACCTTTATTAATGACCAAAATGATGTGCACGACAGCGGCAAGGCACAAGATTCCTTCTATGTCGTCAGACACCACACATGTCCTGAGCTCATCCAAAAATGACCTATAAAAAAAATCAACAAACACCATAATGCACAGTATAGACTCTGATGCTTTACAGGGAAACAGACATAGCCAAGCCCACCAAGAACCACAAAGCCCAGTTCTCAGATAACACAGATTGGCGGAGCTCGCCCCGTCCTCCTCACTGTATGTGTGCGAATCACACAGGGCAGACGCCGGGCCAGGGGCACTGCTGGAAGGAGAGGACAGTGCGGTGCGAGTGGAAGAGCTGCCCCACCTGTCCTCGACACACACGAGAAAGATTTAATGTGTGTTGGGAGATACTTCATAGCTGCTAAAGATGGTGCTTTGGAAAGTTTTCTTTGAACGTATATACCATTAAAGCTACTCCCCGTCAGTCCTCGTGCGCCACAGCAAACCTGGAACTGTGGTCCAGCGACATGAGGAGGCTGCGCGCTGGAGGGAAACGGCAATGCTGTCATGCTCCACGTTAACACGTGGTGTTTCTCTCTTAACTGAATTTTAGTTTGACAGGTGTAACCAAAAACTACTTAGATGGACATACTTTAATGTCCTAACTTTAACGTTAGAATTTTTCTTCGTGTAAGTTTAGTGTAAACATTTCCAATCACTGATAGAGAAAATCCCACGGAACATTTTTCTCATAGAAAACAATGCACCTTTGGAAATGCGAGAGGACAGCAGCAGCAGGTGGGGCTCACACGGCGGTTACCTGACCACGCCTGGGGACTTCATGACCATTCCTATCAAACACCTCGAGAACGGCGGGAGGTCAGAGAGACGCTCTGGAGGGGTAAGCGCTTCTACATCAGAAACCTAAAAGAAAGTTCCAGAGCAGTAAGTTATAAACTGAGACTAGGCTAATTACTTACTTTACATTACTTTGGGTTTGCTTCAACACCTGAGGAAAACTTTCCAGAGAAGTTCAGAAGAATTACCTTTCCTAAGTGCTGACATGTCTACAATAATGATGAATAATCTATTATCATAAACAGGTGTGTCTTATTCTGTGAGACAGCAATAAAGGAAAAAGACATGTCATTCGATAGGCCTTTTGTCTAATAGTCTTTAGTTTGTTACTGTCTATAGCAAATGGTGTGTCTCCAGGCAGTATGATGGCTGTTGTGGACAGAACCCTTCCCGTGGGTGGCTGTGCCATGCACTGCGGGGTGAGCAGCATCCCATGCCCCCACCCGCTGTGACAACCCTGAACGTTCGCCGACATTGCCAGTGTCCCCTAGAGGGACAGAGGCAAAATCCCGCAGAGAAGCACCACTGGCCTGGAGCCGCCAGGGCGCCTGCCTGGACCAATGCCCCTCTGATGAACAGTCCACGTGGGGAGTCCCCGCCCAGACTGCCTGCTCCGAGTGAGGCTCAGGCCGCGTTCTGCCCGTAACAGCTCAGGTGTGAATGAGGCTGCCCTATCCGTGTGTATCCCCACCACTGTCGTTGGCTGGATTCCTGGCTTTAAGACAGCCGGAGACTTCACGGAGGTGGGACTGGCCACACTTCTAACATGCTGTCCCGCATGGCCTCTGCTAGGGTCACAGCATAGAGCTGGATGTTAAAGTCAGTCAGTATATATGAAATCGCACTGTTTCTCTTTACAATGCTCTATATCTTAAAATACATGTAAATGCATTTCTTACACTGTGAGAGAAAAGACTACTGACTAGTTAACATAAAAATAATAAAAGTCTATCTAGAGATTTTTAGCCTAAACAGGAGCAAAACATACAACAGCACCAGAGAAGTAGAGCACAGCCATGAGGCTCCCACCATGTACACGACAAGCGTCATTCCGGAAAGTAACTGGGGTGAGTTAGACATGCACACTGAACTCTCTAGAGAAACGCTAAAAAATTACAGGAGGATAATATATAAGCCAGCAGAGGAGAGAAGATGGAACAGCAAAAACACTTAGCTCGTCAGAAAATGGCAGCAGAGGAAGAAACGCAGAGTGACCAACACGGATGAGCCGACATTAGACAGAGAGCACCTCCACACGCTGACCTGGGCCCAACCTGTCAACAGTCTCCTACAGTCACACAGCCACAACCACTCCGAATAGAAGGCAAAGATCATCACGACGGATTTTTAAACCCCCATCCATGTGATGTTTACAAGAAACACACTTTAAAAATAAAGAAAAGTTACAAGTAAAAGGATTAGAAAAAAGATTTGCTATGCTAAATGGGAAGCACAAGACAGCTGGCTTGGCATGAAAATGCCACAGTGGACTTCAGGATGAGAATGTCACAGGAGATAAAGAGAACTTCATAATAACATGGCAATCATTCCATCAAAAAGACACACGTCTTACATGTGTATGGACCCAACAACAAAGCTCCCAAATCCATAAAAAGAAAATTGAAAGAATTAGTGAAAAAAGAGACAAATCCACAATCGCAGCTGGGACAAGTGGACACGTTGATGAGGAAATAGAACAGAGATCAGCAAACTCTTTCTGTAAGGTAGAAAATAGTAAATATTTACATAAAATAGTAAATATTTCTGCTTTGTAGGCAAAGTTGCGATGATTGCTGTCATAACCACTCAACCAACTCCTCTGTTGTGGCACAAAGGCAGCCACAGAAGACCGAGCCAACGGCACGACTGTCCAGTAGGACTTCCACAGGCCACGTGTGACCCTCGGCTGTTAGTCATCTGTAACTGTCAGCTACATGGCTCGCCAGAGCAGACACAGCGGGTTTTTATTCTACGTATAACCTAGTAATTACTCTCCTAAACCAGTGAGCTCCCTTCAAGCTTGAAGGAGGGCCTTAAATTCTATTTAATGTTTTAGAATTTAGTCAACATTTTATTAGTTGTAATTTTATATTGCAAAACTCCTAATTTATAACTAAACACATATAATTCTATGTTATTCCATCAGATTTCATCTTTTCCTACGAAGAAAGCCTATCCTGGTTTCTACTGTCTTCTTCAGCTACCGCCCCAGGCCCACACTCAGCTGTATCTTTGGGTGAGGAAGAAGAGAACGCCTTGAATATTCCACCGGGTAAAACATTGCTTTTTGCGTCAGCTTGAATCATCATCCTGATTATGACAATCTTTAATAATTTCTGCATTAATAATAATTATCTTCCAGTCATCTATAGCTACTGGAAGGAAAATAAAACAGTAGCAACGAAGAAATTATCTGTCTAAACTGATACCAGAAGTTTGAATTTCCGATGCTTAGAAATGAAAGAAGGGGAGGACTAATAATACGCCCAACGGTGGAAGAGACGCGACCCCCCACAGCAACACGGCCCAGGAGCAGCCAGTGCTCTGCTCACCACAGCCGCAACCACGCCCATCTTCTCAGGAGGGAAGGATCTTAAGAAAGCATCAACTCATTTAAACCTCTAAAATATAGCAAAAGAAACATTCAAGGGTAAGGACTAGTCTCCCTTTCATCAAGGCTGATAACATGAGGTATAGCTGCTAGGAAAGTGTACCACCCACTAAAGTTTGACTTCTTACTTTGAAAAACTTAAAAATGTGCTACTAGAAACAGCAGCTGGTGGGGGCAAAAGAGACACAGCAGCTTCAAGATCCGTGTACTTCACCTTCCGCAGCTGGTGGCTTATCTCAACCACGGGTCCTGCAATCAGCGTGGAGAGCACGCCGCGGTGCATGGCAGTGTCCGTGTGCCAAGACTGAACAGTGGTCACGAATTCATGAAGAGGAGTCTGAACAGAATACAGGAGCTACAAGGAAGCACATCAGTCACTTTTAGCAGAGCTAAAATATCGTGTTTTTTTTTTTTTAAAAGCCAAAAGACACTATACAGTCAGTATTCCTGCTGCCCTCCCCTGGGATCTCAGGAGGCGCTGCGGACGCCCGCTGTGGCCTCCCTGCTGTGACTCAGACCTCTCAAGCACCAAGGCCAGTGGAGGACAGCCAGGACCACAGCCCACAGGGAGCCACTGTCATGACAGTCTTTGCCTCAAAGCCAGGAAAAACCCTCTGGAACAGGGGCCTCGAGAGGAGGGCAGGAGGGAGGGCAGAAGTCAAGGACGCCGGGCAGGGCACCAGCCGCAGGCGCCGCACAGCCACCCAAGGTTTTAGCACCAATTACGTAAACAGATCACAAACACTTGAAACAACTCATCAAAAACAGGAACATTTTAAATTAATTCGAATTGAACTATACTAGAAAAAATATGGGCAATAACCATCGATTATCCCCATCAGCTAAGGACAGAGTAAAACTGAAAGTCTTTAATATTTCATAAATGGCCTCCCATTTAAGCAACTCTTTAAATCCTCATTAAAAAGTAATAGCTTGTTCATATTTTTAAACCACTACTTGGAAAAAATAATGGCTCTCTCTGATAACAACACGGTCTTGTCCAGGAGATGGCACTGCATTATCTTCAGGAATAAAGCAAATCCAGATGTGGGTTTTCCTTGTGAGTCGATTACACAATCTCACTCCACACAGGAAGGCCCACACACAATGGGAGCATAACCCCTGACAGCAGTCAGCATTCGCCTGGACAAGGTATCTGTCACTCTACAAATAATCAAAATTAACATCTTCATAAGTGTGTTTTATTTGGAAAATTATGTGAAACAGTAGTTGAGCACTCGAGGCCTACAGCAACCAGTCCTCTCTCTGCTTCCTGTCCTGCTGGCTGGTTGCGACCTGAAATCGTGAAATCCTATTTCAAGACTGATGGGCAGAATCTGAAAGGGCTGGAGCTCTGGACCTCCCTGGCCACTGAGGGTGCCACACCAGGAAGGACGGCACCTAGCAACAAGCCCCTACACCCGACGCTGCGCGTCACTCGAGAGCAAACAGCACA